CCGCGGCGGCCGGGCGGCGGGGAGGGAGATTCCTCACATTCCTCGCCGCGGAGGAGGCTGCGACCCGCGGGGTGCCTGGACGCCCACGGCCTTATATGGACAGCGGGGCCTGGAAAGCCCAGCGGGGCTGGAAACCACCGGCGGCGGCCGGCCCTCCCCGCCCCTGCCGGCCGCTGCGCCTCCCTCTGTCGGCTCGGTCTGCCACGCTGCACGGGCTGCTTGGACTCTGTGCCTCAGTCTCCCTGCTGGGAAAGAGGCCTGACTGGCCTTTTTAGGGTGCGGGTGAGGACTGAGTTCGTTTGCGTAAGCACTGAGAGCCTGCCTCTTAGTAGCAGCCTGCATTGCGGGGACGGCGGTGTTGGGGGTCCGCAGTGTGTGGTCTCAGAACCAGGACTCCCCAGACCGCCTGAGCGTCACCCGTCAGACGGTGACAGTGCCTTTCCCACCTTCGGCCACCTACAAGTAAACGTGCACCGCTTGTGAGGAGGGGCCGCTAGCAGCCCTCTAGGCTCTGAGCTCTAGCCGATGGCGCTGGCCGCCGGTCAGGACTGGCCTGCAAGGAAGGAGAGGCGGCCTGCTTTCTCGAGTCTCCCTTGGGCTGGGTTTGGAGGTTTTGCTTCCTTTTCTCGTAAGGGGTTAGGGTGGATGCCTCCCCCACCCCCATGCTCCACCAGGGTGTTTCCGCCAGGCTTCCCCAAACCAGGCTCTCTCCCTCATCTCCTTCTGCTGCACTGGGCCAAGCCCTTAGTCTTCTGGATTTTGTGATATACTTGCAGACATTCAGCAATGGCCAGTAGTGAGGAGGCATTCAATCTTCACAGACATGAACAACCCGGGCAGAGCTGCTGGTCTTCTGAGGCTTCAGCCCCTTGCTCACAGACAGAGTCGGCCATGAGTGGTGGAAACGCAGGTATAATGTTCATAAACTGTCCAAACAGTGCCCTTCCCTGGACCGTGGAGACAGTACCACCTCAAGAGAACACTGTTCCCTGTAAATGAAGCAGATTTGCCTTTGGCCCACTTCTTTCCTTTTAAACCAAAGCTCACTTCTCCCTGGAAGCCATCCTGGAATGCTGTGGTCCCAGATAATAGTGCTTCACCTGCTCATACGTTGCTTGAGAAGTATTTTTAAATTTCTTTTCTCTTAGCCCTGTTTCAAAATTAGGAAATAATTAAGGAGAGGACCTTTTAGGGAGGGCACCAAGTCATCCATTAATTTTCTCTCTCCTCTTTCCTGCCTCCCCTCACATAATGTACAGTTCTACACTGTGGCATGCTGTACATATTTTAGAAATTTTCTTACATTCAAGACCAGCTCTTGAGTTTTACAGTCTATAGAATCTAAGACCCATCAGCTGTAAGATGAGTCACTATTTTATGTATCACTAAGGAAAAAACCCCACAACAGTCCCAGTTAAACTGTAACATGCCAGTGATGATAGATCTGCCCAGATTTTGGCAACGTTAGTGCACATCTTAAGCACCAGAAACACTGGTCACTGTCCCCTTTGTTTTGGGAATGCAGATGGCACAAATGAGCCAAGAGCCTGCTGGGTTCCTGGTCTCTGCCCTCTGGTTTGGGGCAGGACAGTTAAGGCAGGCAGCAGAAGCATTGCTTCACCTGCACAGTACTCTGTAGACCACAGGTCACCTGGGCACTGGCACCCTCAGGAGATAGAGACAGTAATTAAGTGGAAACACTCAGGAAAGGCCAGCTCACCCCCTACAGCACTGGTGCAACCTGGGGGAACAAGCGAGCTTCCTATCCTGTAGGTTGGACACACCCCACTAGTGTGCTATAGAGCCCAGAGGGTAGGGTTGGGGAAGGGAGGAGCTGGGGAAGGAAGGAAAAGCTAACCACACCAGCCATGAGTAAGCCACAGCAGGAAGTTAAAGTCCAGCATGGTGTGCGCTGGGGAGCCAGGGACCCCAACAAGCTATCAAAGCAAACAGAGAAAAATGGGGCGTGTTAGGGACTGAATATTGGTGTCCCCCCTTTTGCATGCTGAAGTCCTAATCCCCAACCGGGTGCTATTTGTAGGTGGATCTCTGGGAGGTAATTAGGGTTAGGTGAGGTCATAAGAATAGGAGGCCCTGCTAGGATTAGTGTCCTCATAAGAAGAGACTCCAGAGAGCGTGACACTCCCTCTGCCACGCCCCCACCTGGGCAAGGAAAGGCCAGGTGGGGCACAGCCAAAAGGCACTGTGGGCAGGGAAGACGGCCTCAGGAGAGGCCAGTTACCAGCCTCCTGAACTGTGAGAAACAACGTCTACTGCTTTAAGCACCCAGGCTGTGGTACTTTGTTATGGAAGCCCCTGCTGCCTAGGGCAGAAGCGCTTCCAAAGAAATCAAGGGGCTACTTGGTGCCTGATTGCACCAGAGGCAAAAAAGGATACCAAGGAGAGGATAAGGCCTCCAGAGATTTGAGAACTGGATACAGCCCAACAGAATCAGGGAGGGCTGGTTTGACCCCAGGTAGAGGTGGGGTAGGGCAGGACCTGTGAGTCTGGTTAGGGTTGTGCTGTTTTGGGGCAGGTCAGGCTTGGGAAATGGCCAGAACTGCACACAGCAGCTCTCTGCTAGGCAGTGGAGACCGGAGTAGGAAGTAGGTGTTTGCACCTCAGGGGAGGGAGGGAGAGAAAGGGTGGCAAGAAGCAGCCCCACAGAGGGCTCTGGGAAGCCACTGAGTGGTGACTGAGAATGAGGACTCACGAGAGGACCATGGTTTGGTGAGAAGGTACTGGTGACCTTTGAGGGCTGCAGTTTCATTAGAAGGTTAGAAGAGAGTCAGTTAGCAAAAAGTCAAGGAGAAAACGCAGCGAAATACAGGCAGTGCTGTTAAGTGTAGTCTGCTAGCTCCAGAGGCCTGGCTGGGAGAAACAAATAAATAAGAACATGGGCAGAGGGGATGGCAGGGACCATGGACGACAGGCTAGGCTTGCCTATTGCAGAGGAGGAGAGGTTGGATGTCAGTGTGGCAGGAAGTTGTCCCATCTACAGTGGAAGATCAGTTCTTTAAAGAGAGGGAGGGAGGATGGGAAGACCATGCAGAGACAGAAGTGGGGAGACAACGGGATGGGCGGGGGTTGTAGAGGAGTGCCACTGTGCCGGAGCCTGGCCCTGGTGAGCTCCCAGTAAGCACAAAGGCTGGTGTGAAGTAAAGGGGACCAGAAAAGACCAGAATATCTCCAGTAGCCTATGGAATCCAGAAGTCACGAGCTCAGAGTCTCTTGGGCCTGAGTGGATGATGGAGCCATGAGCTGGAGGCAGCCCCCGAGGATCTTCACTCTCACTGATCTACAGAAAGAGGACGGTGTCTCAGTCCTATTCCCGGACCTTCTGAAAGATACAAGTTCTGAAGTCCTCTTTTGTGTCTTCATGAGGTGTGACTAAAAAGACAAAATGAACAAAAACACCCAACAACAAACAGAAAATGCTGCTGCCCATTGCCACTCAACAAAAAGGCTGATGTAAAAACATTATGGTGTGTCCTAATCTACCTTATTCACTGGATCTGGTATAGTGCAACTTCTGGCTCGTCCACAAAGTCAAACTCACCATGGAAGGTAAATGTTTTGAATCAGTTCAGGAGGTTGAGGCAGCAATGACAGTGCAACTAAAGACCTTCATGAAAGAAGTCTTCAGAGCTGTGTGGAAAGTGGTAAGAACAGTGGGACAAGCATGTTCAAAGTAAGGGGGAATATTTTGAAAAGCACTGATGGCAACGTGTCTTTTATGCTAATAAATCTACCAAAAAATTTAATTATTCACCCTGTTTTTTGAGCACATCGAGCCCACCCGGGCTCTGAGCCCTCTTGTTGGTCTGCCGCTTTAAGTCTAGTTCCCTGAGCCATCAAAGGCCCTGAGCTGGGGGACCTCTGCCGGAAGTGGAGGGAAGAGGATGAAGTTGAACTGCAGCAGGCCCTGGCTGCTCCCCAGCTCTCCCAGGGGGGCAGCTCTCAGCAGGTCCTGAATGCATCCACCTGTCTGTGCCTGTGAGGAGTGTAAATACTGATAGCACTGTGGAGGTGAGCAGCACCCCCCCACCCACTGGCACCACCTGGTCTGTCATCTGGATCCTTGATCCAGTCACCCTCCTTCTACCCCTCACCGCAGTAGCAGCCAGAAGGGCCCTATTGACACCATCTGTCTGCCCAGCTTGCTCAGTCTTGGCCTCTGTGACCTCACGTATCACATCTCTGACACCAGAGGCAGCTGTTCTCCTTCTCTTTCCTCATTTGTACTGGGAGCCACCATGCTACTTGGAAGCTGGTCCACTGGGTGCTCTTGCGGTTGCTTTTCTCAGTTCTTCAGGTTCACTCAAAAACTGGCTTCTTAGAGCTGGGGGCGTAGTGATAGAGTGTTTGGATAGCATGCTTGAGGCCCTGGGTTCTGACCCCAGCACCATAAAACAAACAAACAAATGCAAAAATACTGGCTTCTTTGTGAGGACTTCCTACTAAAATCTGGCCTATTAGAGGTTGAATTGTATTCTCCCAAATTCATGCGTTAATGTCCTAAGCCCCAGTCCCTCAGAATGCCTACCTACCTGCCCTTTAGGAGCTGAATTGTATTCCCCAAAATTCATGTGTCAATGTCCTAAGCCCCAGTCCCTCAGAATGTGATTGTATTTAGAGATAGGGGAGGGATCTCTAAGGAGAAGAGGAAGTCAAAGTGAAGTCATTAAGGAGGCCTTGATCCAGCTTGTCTGGAGACTAAGAAGAGATTAGGAGACGTGCATGTGTGCACGCAGATGATCATGTGAAGGCACATGGAGAAGTGGCCATTGGGAAGCCGAAGAGAGGCCTCAGGAGAAGCCACACTGCCAACACTGTGGTCTTGGACTTCCAGCATCCATACCTGGGAGAAAGGAAGTCATTTCTATTTTTTCTGTCACCACTCGGTGGGACTTCAGAGTGGGAAAGCCAGAGCACAATAATACACTCCCTATTTTTTGTATCTTACCCTTTTTTCCCCTCTCCTTAGCATTTACCACTCTCTAACATCCTAGCTCACTTCTTTTTATAATCCATCTCTCCCACTATAACAGAAGTACTGTACAGTTTCAATGGTTTGGCTTGGTTTTGTCTTATTGGTTTCCAGGACATCCCTAGAGCCAATGCTATAAGATAGTTCCTTTAAGAATGGCTCACCAAGAAAGGGTAGTTCAGGTCCCTATTTCCCTGAACAAAGAATGGGGTGAGACAAGCCAAAAACAGTGCCAAAAATTTGTTTAAAAAGTGCAGGATGAAGGGTGTAAAGGAGAAACTGGCTCTGCAGAGCAAGCCTGGGCTGAAGAAAAGAAAGAATAAAAGCAAAAATAAAAGTATACCCTGGTCTAGAAGACGTAGGGTGGGGTATCTTGAAGAGTCATGATAGCAGGCTTCTCATGGCATCTATGTCGGCCACATTTCGTGGAAGCCCCCGAGAAGTCACACATACAGAGTCTTGGGAATGTTTAGCACTGTCCTGGGATCTTGTAATTGAGAGATCCTGATTGTTTTCTCAGCCAGCTTTGCCCCGCCCTACTGTGTGTATCACCAAGACGGTGCCTGGTACCTAGTTGGGACCCAGAGGTCCTTGTGCGGGGATAAGGACAGGAATAAGTTCAGTACCAGCCAGTCTTCAGAGCAGGGGCCTTAAGTTCTTTGATTGTTTCTTGCAGTGATTCTTTTCCTGCTTAATTGATAAACTTTCAATAGGGGCTAAGAAGGCCTCAGAAAGAAGCGATGCTTGAGTTAAAGCTACAGTGAGGAGATGAGGCACGCAGGCATCTGAGGGAAGGGTGTTCACCACAGAGGGAGCTACTAGGGCAAAATCCTGAAGGTAGAGCAGCCCAGACTACTCCAGGAACCACAGAAAACAAGGGCTGGTGCTGGAGAGGAGGCCAGAGGACAAAAGGGCCGTGCAGTAGGCCTCTCAGGACTTTGGTTTTGGGGGCAGGGAAGTTGATCGCTCAATTTATGTTCTGGCTGCTGAACTGAAACCTGAGCACAAGGGCAGAGGGAGAAAGACCAGGTGAGACTAGGTGGGAAGCTACTGTGACCCAGGGGCTTGCTGTCAGTGCTGGAACCAAGGTGACTGTCTTGGGGTGGTGAGAAATGTTAACTCTGAAGGGCAAGTCATCAGGGTTAGGGCAGTACTGCCACCAGGTGAGACAGGAGGGTTGTGGAGGGTTGAGCCAGTGGGGCATGCTACAATCCAGGGGTAGAGGTGCTGGGTAGGTAGTGGGTAATGCGAGCCTGTCCAGTTATGTAAATATAGAGATCACCCGTGTCCAAAATACAATCTGATGTAACCACATAACAAGTTTACTGTGCATACACAAGAACAATTTGCAAACAAGGAGACTACCAGCGGAAAGTGGTAAAGCCCTTGATGATAGTTATACCAAGGTCTGTGATGTTTAAAAAGGGAGAAGGGCTTGACATTTTGGGTGATTGTCTGTTATGTGTTAGCATTCTTTTTTAAGCAAGAAGAACTGCTTAAGCTGATTTGTCTGTATTTGATGTAACTACACTGAATCATACTGACAAAGATGTGATGCTTACATTTTGTTTTGTTTTGATTGGGACTAGCACATAGGGAAATGGGATGACTTAGTTTTGGTCACATGATTATAAGTTGGCTTTGGGATATAGCTGGACATGGCCCCCATGTTTATTTTTCTTTGAAATCAGCCGTGTAGTTGATATATAAGGACTTGAGCCTGAGTGGGTTCACCAGGGCTGAGTGCTGATCAGAAGGAAGAGAGGTTGGTCTGAGTTTGGGCACCTCTCACACCTAGAGGTGGAAGCTGGAGGAGAAACAGTGCCGTCCTAAATCCAAGGGAAGAAAGTATTTCAAGCCAGAGGTCAGTGATGGCCAAGGGGGTCATGGGTCAAGGAGGATGAAGTTTGGGAACTGTCCTTTGGGTTTCATTATGGGAGGTCAGGGCTGACTACCCTTTATTGGTGCAGTTTTCAAGGATGGGTGGAGGTATAAGTTCGTTTTTTTTTCAGCCTGTTTTTTTCTTCCTTGGCCCTCTGCACACATGAAGAAGATCTAGCTATCAACTTCCAGTTATTAAAAACATGCAGCCAACTTGGACAAGTGATTCTGAGCTCCTCCACGTCTCCCAGGGAGACACTCCTAGATTGCTATAGGCACTTCTCATGTCCTCTCTTTTCCATTGTTCTCATTACTTTTATTTTCCTTGGACCGGTTTCCAGTTTCCCCACTTGTGATACGTAGTGACACGTTGAACATAATCTCTAAGGAGGGCTTTGACTCATGTTGCAACAGAACAAGTATGATGTGACACAGAGTGTTCTGGGTTGGCTTCACTTTCATTCAACTTTGCATATTCCTTAAAAGGAATTCATTAAATGTACAGCTGTTATGATTTTATACCTGAATAAGAATTTTTATCCAAATTATTTTAGAAATTACAAAATATAGTTTTTTTCTTTTTTTGTGGTGCTGGGATTAAACACAGGTCCTCACACACACTAAGCAGGTGCGCTACACTCCCAGCCCAGGAAATATCCTCTTATAAGATCATGTGTCCTTGCTTAAGGTTCAGAAAGATATGATCACCATAAGTATACTGGCAAAGTAAATCTGCCCATCAGCAGATAATATACTTATTGAGATTCCATCTGTAATGACTTTTATTTATTTATTTAGTGTTTTTTATTCTTTTTTTTTTGACCAATTGAATAATCATTAACTATTCTCAATGGTTGTTCTAGGAAACACATAATAATAAACATACATCCATTTACAAAATAGCATAGGAACAATACAAACATTACAGAGTTATGGACAGATTAGTAGGAAAATATCAATGGCTGCTGTAATACATAGTGGTAACTTCAAAGTGGTTTCTCAGGAAGACAGATATGCAAGAAGGATCTAACAAGTAGTTACAGCCTAAGGGCTGTCAAAAATAGTGTATTACCTCCTCTCCAGTGACTTCTTTCACTAAGGTGTGACAGCTGGAAGGAAGGCCAGGATTGAAAAGGAGGACCAAGAAACTTGCACCTGTGTCTAGCAACAGGCTGTTTTCTTGTCCCTCAATAGTCATGATTACCTGGTGCTCCTCCATGGAGATGACAGTCTGGCCAGAGGGAGAAGGCAGAGTATGCCCCGGACCCCCTCATTCCTGTTGGACTAAGTGGTAGGATGGGTCTGAACTCTGGGGCCTGTGCTTCAGAGAACAGACTGATCTCCAGTGGTCACCTTTGCATTCAGGGCATGGCCCAGTGGGCCTCTTAGGGCAGTTCCTCTTGAGGTGGCCTGGCTTTTAATATTGGTAGCAGATGAATGCAGTTGTCAAGTTCTTCTTGGGACCTGAGAATCAAACTTAGGGTCTGTTTCTCTTAGTGCTGCAGCAAAAGCAGCTGCTTTTTCTCAGTCTCTTTGTTTTCTCTCTTTGGCCTCCTCCTTGTCGCAGCTATAGAACACTGAGGAGGCAATTCTTACTAACATCTCAAGTGAGCCATCTGGGGTGAAAGCCATGCTTTGTAGCTTTTTCTCTCCAACCTCCCATCACATTGGGGCCCCACAACCACTTAGTGTCCTCTCCCCAGCCGTCAGCATAGACAGCAGGAATCTCGGTGCAGACCTCTTCAGGGCTCCACGCACTCTTCCATCGCAGCCTGTACTGTCAGGGGAAGAATGGCTTCCAGAGGGTCTCCAAAGGTATTGCACAAAGTCCTCCTGGTTTACAGCTTCCGAATGGTTCTCGTGATGCCAGTCCACTAGACCTCTGACTCCTCGGGCTTAGCCTGTATTCTCACATTCTCTGAGTCTTTGTTCAGCAGCGGCTCCTCCGCTGACTCTGGACCTTTCTGGTTCTCAATGGCAGGGGCAAGAGCAACCCGCTGTGTGGTATGTATTCCCAAGGGTTTCTCCATGTCAGAATGATTCATGCACGTCCGCGGGTGGGCCTCTGCAGCTGGTGCATGGTGGGCCAATTGTGTCATTGCTTCTCTGTGCCACCATAGTTCTCAGTTGAGCGGCAGTGGCCAGCCTGAGGGCTGGCACGGGCCAGCGCGCCCCACTGCGCGGCCTCCCGGGTGCTGGGGGCCCTCCTCCTGGGCACCTGCGATGCCGGGGTCCGGCTATTTTGTCTTTTTGAGACAGGGTCTTACTATGTAGTTTAGGCTGGCTGTGAGCTCACTTTGTAGCCCAGGCTGGTCTCGAACTTGCAATGATCTTCCTGCCTCAGCCTCCCAAGTGCTGGGATTACAAGCGTGCACCACCACACCCAGCTGTAATGACTTTCTGTCTTTCCAATAGTTTTTGCTGTAGTTTAAAAATAAAAGGTCATAGTTTTCCAAGTACTTTACAATAATAATATTTCATAACATATTAACAACACTGTTACTATTTAAAGCAAAAAACCTAATATTCTTAACTTACTAATTAATTCACTTACTCAACCAAATTGCAACCTTCAGTGAATTTCTTTAGTAGCGCCTCTTATCTCCACATCCTTATTGCAGAAACTAGACTGGTGACATTTGTTTAAACAAAAGTTACTTAATATCAACAGTTAATGCTCATGCTTCTAATTTTTATGCACATAATATCCCCCACCACCATTTTGTGAATCATAGAACCCAAACACAAAATGATTGATTGCTGTCTTTTAAGTTTTATTTATTTATTTGTGGGCTTTTTTGTCTTTTCGAGACAGAGTCTTGCTATGCAGTTCAGGCTGGCCTTGAACTCACTTTGTAGTCCAGGCTGGCCTCAAACTCACAGTGATCCTCCTCCTCAGCTCTGGAATGCTGGGATTACAGGCATGAGCCACCATGCCCAGCTTTAAGTATCTTGTAATGTGCAGGTTTCCCTCCACCACAACTCTCCCTTTGCAATTTATGTGTTGAGAAACCTAGATTGTTTATTTTGCCATCCTCACAGCCTGGACTTGGCTCCCTGATGTCACTTAGTGTGCTCCTTTGGCTCTGTCTTACCTGTAGCCCCGAGGCTGGATCTAGCAGCTTGATCAGAGCTGTGTCATGGGTAGTGTGTTCCTTACTAGGAAGCTCGTGTTTGATTCTCTTCTTGTGATGCGGCAGCTCCTGATCATCAACGCCTTCATTTCATTTCAAAAAACGGTGATGTTCTAATTCTCAGTCCCTCTTCACTTTGCAGCTAAAATTCTTGCATTAATGGGAATTCTTATCTATGTTGACCCAATGATAATGCAAACAAGAATAAATAAAATGGGTATGATTTATTAGTGTTCAATACTGGGTTGTTTAGAATTCATTAAATTGGCCCACTAGCATCTTCCAGTGAGTTTTCCTTCCATAGTTGCATTATTAGCCCGTGACTTTCACACACCCGCTATCCTTCCACCCATAGCCCTTGCTACCCTTGTGATGCTTGAATGTCTCTCTAAGCCAGGGCAGCCTCCTCCTGGTGGCTTTTCCTCTGGACGTGGCTCCCAGGGCTTCAGTACTTTCCTTGTCTTCTGATAGGTCAGTATCAGCCTCATCTTGCCTGTCTTCTTCTCTTGTCCTGGAATCAATCATTTCTCTAAAAAGCCTTGCTTCTTGGTGGAAAAGGAATTTCAAGACCATAGCCAGGTATTATGACATCTGCTAATTTTAACTCCATGATTTCAGAAGTGGACTATCTGTTAATCCCAGGATAATTTTATAGCTGAGCTCATTTCCTTTAAGACCAGGATTTCAACCGTCTCCTCTTTCTTCACATAATCTGCCCCATTTACCCTCTTCATCCCGAAGTTTTCCTGACTTGTACTTCCCTGAGAACTCGAGCTGGAGGAAAAGAACCTCCCCCTCCCATCTTCAGCACGCGCCCTCTTCCAGAATGCCACATTACCCCATCGTCTTCTTCCAAGTCCCAGCTTCCTGCATCCTGTCTGTCTGTTCATTTGTTTCTCCCAAGGACTCTGTCCCTCTACCCTCTGTGCCTGCTGCCTGCAGCCTCCATCTCTCCCTCACCCCTGGCTTGTTCCCAGCATGGTACGAATGGGCCCCAGTAGCTCCCACCAGCAAAGGTAGCGCTCCCAGACCCCACACCTCCTTCTCACTATGCCCCCCTTTAGAGATTTGAACGTCAAATGAAGCTATCTGCAGGCTCATGGGATTTTCCCCAGCACTGGTTAGGGGTGTCAGAAGCGAGGCTGGAGCTGTCCCCTGGGCACTGGCTGTGAATTTTAAAGCCTTAATCAGCCTCAAGTGTGGCAGTGTCTCATGACTGTTGTGACCACTGTCCCCAGGACTCTGACAGTAAGTGGCTCCTGCTTCCCACTCTCTTCCTGCACAGTACACAGTTGTGTCACCTACATGCTTGGCTTCAGAAGGCACTTTTGGGAGGGTCCTCTCTGCTCTCAAGGGTCCGCTCCCTGCTGTGTTCCAGGCACATGGCCCTGGCTTGGTCCCAAGATTATGCCAACCTCCAACTCAGGGCACCCATGTTCCGTGTCCCTGGGCCATCCTCCGTTAGTGAGCTCTTCTCTTTATCCCTGAGGGACCTGACTAAACTGTCCCCCACCACATTATGCCATTCTCTTCCCCTTTGTAACCATCCATGGCCTGGGCTTTCCTTGGTCACCTCTGCTCTGACAGGTCCTGTCAGAGTTTGGCGGGAAGAAATACACAGCTAGGTAGCCTGGCTGGGATCCTGGATCCATGCTTTCCATGCTGGGCAACCTGGAACAATTTACTTAGCTTCGTGGAACCTCTGATCCCTTATCTTTAATGAGGAGATGTGAGAATGAGATCCACTGACACCTGTTCCAGGCTTCAGACAGAGCTGGTTAGCAGGCACTACGTAAATGGAAGACACGGCTGTAGCATGTTCCCCTCTGTCCTGCTGCCCTGTCTGGAGAACCCCAGGTTGGACGAGCTAGTTCCTGGTACTGAGGGAGTCTTATGGTATGAAGAAGCAAATGGGGCGTGAACATCTGCTTTGGAGCTTGCTGGAAAGTTGGGCTTCTTCATGGACATTGGGTACACTGTCACACAGCCTGTCCAAGCTTTGATCTTTCATTTCAAAGGCCAAACACCAATTTGTCATGCACTGATAATGAAAAAGAAAAATGAAGGTGTAGGAGGCCACATTCTATGTCCTAGGCAGCCCAAGGCCCAGGAACAACCAGGGCTCACCCATCAGACTGAGCTGACACTGCCAGCTGGCAGGAAAACAGTCCCTCCCTGGTTCTCTGGTGTCTGTCGTCACAGAGACAGCTGCATCTTTGCAAGGTCCACCCGTCAGTGTCAGGAAGAGCCACGCATTGTGGTGGGTAAGGACCGATGTTATGTGGCCCAGCTTGCTGGGAAGGTTTGTCTGGGGCTGTGGTCTGGATGGGACAGGTGCTGAAGGGCAGTTGACAGGAATGGTTGGTCTGGAAATTCATTTCTCACTTTCGGTAAAAATGCCACGTGAAGCATTGATATCAGTCTATACCTATGTACACACACATGGCTGGCGTAGGGCTTAGAAACCGGACATGGGTCTCATGGCTTTTCAGGCTGCAGAACCCTCAAGACAACAATCTCTCTGAGGATGGCACCAGAGCCAGCCAGGGCCACAGGCTTCCCAGACATGAGTTAACTCCCCGCCAGGGCGGGTCTGGCAGCTCTAGGCTCCATGACAGTGTCTTCCTTCCCTCTTGCTTTATTCCTGAAAGTCAATAAATTGGTTGGTCTAGTGGGTTGGCATAGAGTCAGGGGTTGACGTGGGTACCTGTGGCCCTTGGGGACCAGGGACCAGGACCAGGCTCCTCACAGGTGCCAGCCTGCCAGTGTGCCTGGGCCCCAATTGTGTGTGGGGTATGGGGTTCATATGCCAAGAGCATAAGCTTTGCTTGTCTTTAGCAGAACTGTGCTCCATTCAGGGAGAACCCACTGGGGGTAGGCCCAAGTTTCCAGATAAAAATCTTCCTTTTCTGACATTATTTTTGAGGAAAACTGGTAATGCAGGTCTGTCCTTGGCACAAGAGCAAGGCAGGGGACAGGAGGAGCATAGCTGCGAAACCCCCTCACCAGAGCTCCACGCAGGGGAAGAGATGTCGCATGAATGCAGCCACTCACACAGGGAGGGGCAGCACTTTCCTTTCTGTCCTTGATCCTTCTCTTTGGGGTGCAAGATTCATGCATAGAGAAAATGCATGAAGTGTTTTATAAAAAGGTCTGTATATTGTCACTCCAGAGAGAAGCATAGAAACTTATAGGAGGTCAAGTGCTGAGTGTTCAAGAACAATCTCTCTGAGGGTGGGGTGGGGTGGGATGCAGACAGAGGATGGGGAAGGTATGAGAAAGGGGTCATGGGATAGGTTCTATTTTTATGAAAATTCTCCTAAATTTTGCTTTGCTATATAGTTTTGAAAAATAAAGTGAAATTGCAAATTACTATGTGTTGATTCCCCTTTGAAGAAAATCAGTTAAGTCTAAACATATGACAGCTTGTAACTGCTTTGGAATGCTTTGGCTGGAGGTAGCAGAGAACTGTTATGGTTTATATATAATGTTCCCCAAGTGCCTCTTGTGCTCATAGATGGAGCTTTTGAAGGGTGACTGGATCACGGCGTGCTATAGCTGAATGTGCAGCTGGGAGGCGGGGCCTGGCCAGAAGAGGTGTACCTCCCCTCACTCCGTGCTTACCGGCCATCAGAATCAGTAGGTTTTCCTCCACCATGCCCTTCTGCCGTGCCTTCCTGCCTTGGAGCCGGCCAACTATGGACTTAAATGTCCCAGAAATGATGAAAGTGACTGAGACATCAGCTTATCAAAATCTTAACAAGCAGTCTCAGAATAGCCATCCAGAACTGGGGTAGTAGCTCAGCAATGTCACCAAGAACCCAGGCAAGCTCTCCTTCTCTTGGTTATCTTTAGCATGCTGGCTTCTTGTCTCATGAGCTGCTTCAGCTTGAGGCATCACACTGATATTCGAGGCAGAAAGAATTTAAACCAGCTGTTCCCTGTCCCTTTTATAAGAAAAACTCAAAAGCTTTAAAGGAAAATTTTTTCAATTTTGAGAGAAAAAAGACAAAAAAACAAAATTTCAAAACAAGATGATAGGAGGGTAACAATGGTTAATATATTGTGTATTGTTATCTTTAAATTAGTTACTCACAGTACAAGATAGTGGCATTTACTTGTCCAAACAACATTAGCACAAACCTTTCTTTTCAGTGAACTAAGAGAAATTAGTAGTATAATTATCTGTCTTGATTACTTTTTTCTCATTGCTGAGGCAAAATATCAGACACTCAGATTAAAGAGGGAAAGGTTTATTTAGCTTACAGTTTGTGGAGGCTCAGTCCATACTTGGCTGGCTTCAAAGCAGGGTGGCATGGCACAGGGGCAACACTTCAAGGCAGCAGAAGACAACAAAAGCAGCAAGAGCAAAAGCAGGTGGAGCAAGCCTCTTTATCTCCCTTATATGGTATGCAGGCTCTCCATCCTAGGGTGGGTCCTTTACACCCACACCATCTCCATGCCCTGTTTTTACAGAGGCTCGGGATGTTTACAAAGTGAGGACCCTGGCCCCCTGTTGAGTCCTTTAGTTAAGCTTCTAAACTTCTCAAGTTGACACAGTGTATCAACCATTACACTATCTTAATATATATATATATAATGTTTTATTTTTGCTTTTCCCTTCCTTCTTTTCTCCATGCCCCCATCCCAGTTTCTCTATCCTTTTGAAGTTTCTTCCCATTTTACAATATCTATTGTACATTTTGGATCTTACTCTCAACTTCGCATACTAGGGAGACAATACAAAGTTTACACATGTGTCTGGTTTATTTGGCTTACGAGTATGGTCTCAATTTGCATCCATTTACCTATAAAAGCCTCCATTTATCCTTCTTTATAGCTAATACTCCACTATATACAAAGACCACATCTTTTTTTATCCATTCTTTGATTGATGGTCATTTGGGTTGTTTCCAAGATTTAGCTATTACAAATTGTGCTGCTATAAACATGGGTGTGCATATATCACTGTGGTATGATGTTTTTAATTCTTCTGGGAAAATACCCAGAAAGGGAATAGCTGGGTCAAACGGGACCTCCAATCCTAATTTTTTGAGGAATCTCTGCACTGATTTTCACAGTGGTTGCACCAATAAAAACAAATTTCAATTTAAGACTCATTGGCCAGAACTGTGTTACTTGGTTTCATGAGTTCTGTGGAGACTTTCCCAGTCTCCTCAGTGGAAGTGGACAAGAGAAAAAGGGTTTGGGAACATGCTTGGATCAGAGGACCAAGTGTGTCTGCCGTGTCTAGCACAGCTCCTCTCTCATAATCGGTCCTGTTCTTTTAGCATAAAGCTTAATGCTGCTGTCTTAGTTACTTTTGTTGTTGCTGAGACAAAGTATCAGATGCCCAAAGTTAAGGGAGGAAAGGGTTATTTAGCTCACAGTTTATAGAGGTTTCAGTCCACCTTTGGCTAGCTCCCCAGCAGGGTGGTTTCACAGAAGAGAGCAATTCATGGCGGGGGCAGAAGACAGCAAAATCAACAGTCGACCTTAGTAGTGTCTTTCTGCCCCTTTTATGATCTAGGCTACTGTTATTAGGGTGGTGCTAAACCAAGCAGTGAACTGATCACACACCCTTAATCTCAGTATCGCACACTCTAGCTTCAGCCACCTCTGAAAAAGCCCTCTGACCACATGAAGTTCTGGGGAGACATCTAGACCCAAATCATAACATCTGCTTTGGAAACTTAGTTCTAAATTCCTTGTCCAAACAGATAAGAATTATGCATTATATTTTCATTAAAATATACTTTTTCTTTAATTTTTTCCCATGTATCACTTCTTTCTTCCCCAGGGCAACTGTGGTGGAGTGGACAGGTCAAGACTCACTGCTGAGGTGCTCAGGAGCACACCAAGCCTGCCAGGACTGCAGAAGGCCCGAGGCCACCCAGACCCCCACTGCTCTTCTGCTGGGCTCTTGAGAGAACCTGCTTGTCTACTGTAGTGCTGGCAAATGCAGCAGGCAGAGGCACTTTTCCTGGTTTCCTGACTCACACACAGACTCCTGGTCTTTCCCCACTGGCTCCACAAGCACAGGCAGACTTACTCTGGTCAGATTACAGGAAGTGGGGCAGGGGATTTAGCTCGGTGGCACAGCGCCTGCTTGACAAGCACAACGTCGTGAGTTCGATTTCCGGTACCGGGGGAAAAGAAAAGATTACAGGAAGTGTGTAAAAAAAAAAAAGATGGTGTGAAAAGGAAACACTGAACAAATATGACAGCACTTTTGCTGATCAAGTTACATTTTTTTGTTTTTGGTATCTGGAATTGAACTCAGGACCTCGCGCTTGTCAGGCAATCTGTGCCGCTGAGCTTGTACAAGATTGTACCACTCGACAAAGACTTGGTGGCAGAAGCTACTGTCCATGGCCACAAGGAGGGCTGGCTTCTCTGGTTTCCTCAAGAACCCAACTAAAAGGGGTTTCACTTCTCAGCAGAGGCAACGCTTACACTACACAGTGCCCGCAGTTTGTTTTTGCAGGCACATTTGCACAGTGAATGTCTGTGCTGTGTGCTGGTGGCCTCGGCTGCTGTGACCCACCTTGCTCGCCCTGCCTCAGCCTCAGCCGGGGCTGCATGACTGGATGGCCAGGCTGCTGCACTTTCCCTGCATCCGGAAAGATTTGCTCATTGCCGGGTAAACAAGCTCTCTGCGTTAGCACCGAGGCTGGGCAGGAAGCATGAGGATGTAACTCCTTCAACTTCCTGGCGTTGTCTTTTCCTTTCCTCCTGTCTGTTGCACCTCTCCTCATTCTTCCCAAACCCTGCATACAATCTACAGCTGCACATGGCCACAGCTGGCAGTTGGTCAGGCGGGCACAGCCTTGTGCGGGAGTCTCGTGCTGGGTTGCTTGCCATGCTCCGTTTGGGCCAAAGATGCAGGAGCTTCTAGAGGTGCTGTGACTCACAGTTGTTCTGAGCATGAAGAGCACCACTTGCCCTGTCAATGGGGACACAGGTTAACACACTATATTTTAACCAGGTGCAGTACTGCAAATCTGTAGTTTCAGCACTCTAGGAAACTGAGGAAGGAGGATTGCCAAATTTGAGCTTAATCTGAATGATTTAGCAACTGAGAACATGTCTCAAAATTTGAAAAAAGGGCTGTGATGTAGTTCTGTGCAAAGGCCCTAAGTTCAAGGCCCAGTACTAACAAAACACAACACAACAAAACAAAACATCTTGTTCAGATGGCCGACCAGGGCTATCAGTCTGCACCTTTGAGGGCTAAAGGGAAGGTGACACTGCACACTTGGGAAAATGTTCATCCCCCTCACACTTTCTTTCACATATGCCATAAAAATGCAAAAGAAGGGAGCAATTCCAAGAAAGAGAACAGGAAGCAGCTGATGACACAGAAGATCCTGGTCTGGCTGAGTACAGAACTCTGGTCTCCAGAGTAGTAGTGCTAAACCTTGATCAAGCTGCCTATACCTTTAAGAGTCTGATGGGAGGTACAGATTCTCTCCCCAGAAAAAAACATTCATCATGCACACAAGTTATTTGCTTACAACCTCCATACTTCTGTGAAAACCCTTTTCACCACCCAGGACTACATGGGCCATGGCACAAATATTCCTAGTTTAGAAGCAGTTGGAAGCAGTTACTATCAAAAGCCCTTCTACAGGCAGATGGAAAGGAAGCCTTAACTTCAAAGGAAGTTCCCCCATCACTGGAAATGTGGAGCTAACCTCAAGCAGGAGGAAGACAGCAAGAGCTGATGGCTCCTCAAAGACAGATTTTAGTTCACTGGAAGTGCATCTTTCTGCGGGAACAGCTGTATACCTACCATTTGTGCTAATTAATTTGCCATTCTCAGTTCAGATGTGTGTGGAGGGAAGGATGATCCCTTCTGAATTAAAATCCACAGATCCAGCTGGAAGTGATTTAAACTCATCACCAAAAGAATTTGTTCTTATAAAGATGAATTGTTTCTGTAAATTATTTGTTTTGCTCCCTCCTGCTCTTCATGTCAGGGCGAATTGATAGTTTTCCACATGAAAGCCGGTTTGGGGAAGCCAACACATTTTCAGACATTTGCTTATGGTCCAGGTGCGTGCATAAGCTGGCCAATAAGGAGGGATAATACAGCACCAGTGAGGACCAGCCGCCAGCTCCCAGCCCTGAGTTACTGCATAACTAACAAATCCAAATCTCAGGAGCTCAGCACTGTTTATTTCTTGCTCATGCAAAAGGCCAAGTCTCCTCTCCACTGTCAGCACAGCCTTCTAGCATCTCACTTTGTAGCACAGGCTGGCCTGGAACTTGCAGTGATTCTTCCTGCCTCAGCCTCCCACATGCTGGGATTATAGGTGTGCGCCACCACACCCAGACCCCCTTAGATTTTAAGAAAGAATGAGTCTTCTACTGCTGGCCATGACAGAATAACACAGGCCAATTTACTCTCAACCCTTCCTTAAAAAGAAACTCTGGGCTGGGGATACAGCTCAGTGGCACAAGTGCCCGCCTGGCAAGTGCAGGGTCCTGAGTTCAATTCCCAGTACAAAAAGAAAAGAAAAGAAAAGAAAGAAACCCCGAAACAAGCTATGGTGACTGTTTTCTATGGCGGGCAGTGCAGGACTCTGATCACTGAGAAAAGCAAGCTGAGCTCTAAATTACTGAGTGCTGTTCAGGTCCCCTTCACAAGGGAGACAAATAGAGCTTGGGGGTTTCACTAGTTGAAGAGACAGATGTGAGCATGGGAGACTCTCATCACCATGGTCAGACAATGAAGGGTGGAGTACAGGAAAGGAGGCTACAGACAGAGCTAGTGTGTGAACAAGTGCTTAGTCCAGTTGTATTACTGTAATCAAACACCATAACCCGAGTGACTTATAAACAAATACTTCTCACTGTTCTGGAGGATGGGATGTCCAATACTGAGGACCAGCAGATTCATGTTTGCTGAGAGCAGGTCCCTTGTAGACAGCAACTTCTTGCTGTGTCTGCAAACAAGCTTCCTCGGCCTCTTCCAATACTCAGATGAAAGCAGAGTGTGTGTAGTGGAGAGTGACTATGGGTCCTGGAGATTGTACAAGAGTCTCCTAGAGAGACTTGGGCTGCGTGTTATTGTGAGCATTCATATAAGGAAACAGCACAAGGGGGACAGAACCACTGGACATCTACTGGCAGGAAACACATTCCTGGAACTCATCCAGGCCTGGAAGACAGACATGCTGTCCCAGCCACACTGTGAAGACATTACTGTAGGGCATCTGACAGGATTTTCTTTCTGGAGACCATGTTTTACTATTGCTGGTTTTGAACTCATGATGTAGCCCAGGATGGCCTGGAACTTGCAGTGATCCTCCTGCCTCAGCCTCCCAAGTGCTGGGATTATAGGGATGTGGCACTACACCCAGTTTGACATGGCTCTTGGAAAAGTGTCACCTTTATAGGCGACAAAGTTAATTTTACACTAAAAAGCTGTCTTGGTCCCCGTGACAGCAAACCTATTATGCCAAGCTGAGGCCCTGTGCCCATTAAACAGTAATTCCATGCTTAGCCACTTCCTGTGTCTGTGACTCTGGCCACCGTACCTCACAGGGGTGGAATCAAGACAGAATCTGACCTTTTGTGACTTTTTTCTTTTGGGGCTGGGCGGGCATGGTGTTGACAAGATCCATCATAAAGCTTTCCCCATTAGCTTGTAGATTTTTACAAGTTTTAGTACTTTAAATAATACACTGTAATACTTTGGACTCCCCTTCTTTAGGCACGATCTACTGACTCTCCAGTAGAGATGGGGATTAGCAGCCTGTGCGTGTGGGGCAGGTCTCCATCTGGGAAGGTCTTTCCTCTTGTGGGCTTGACGAGCACTTCTGTCCTGCTTAGGGGTTTGTCTCACAGGGCACCGGCCAGCCCCACTGCTCCATCTGTTCCCAGGGGAGGAAATGGGGTCGTTCACCTACAGCGTGAGATGGGTGCACACAGGTCCCCCCGGTTGTCAGAGGCCGGTGCCCACGAGTGAAGCTGACCATGCTCCGGCTCTTCTGTGAGCCAAGCCCTGTTCCACGCAGCGCCCGTGGTACACAGTGAGCCCAGTAACCGCAGGACGGGCCGAGCCCTGGGGCTGCCAAATTTTTCTTCCACTGTGTCTTTCCAAATCCTTACCTGCCATCTGCGCACTGTCAAGGTTTGTAAGCTACGTTACTGTGTAACTGCCAACCATCGGTAATATCTGGAGGTTCACACAATTAAAAATCAAACACGTAACATAAAAACTATAGGGGGAAGTATGTGCCGCATCGCTAACATTTTGCCACTTGAAGGAGAGTCTTCCAAGTATCATACCCAAATGGGTTACCTTGCTTTTCAAATTCTCCTTACTTTTCCAGAATCACAGTCAGGCACTGCTCTCCTCTGCATCCCATGGCATCTCCTTAAGATTCCTTTTCCACCTTCCTGGTCCCCTCCTCATGCCAACTAAACACAACACCTGGGAGGCAGGCACGGGGTATCAGGAGCTGCTTCAACCCCTCCAGGTGGTTCTGATGTACTTCCAGGACTCGTAACAGATGTAGAGAGCTAAAATGACTCATTCACACCAGAAGAGGTATGTTTTGGGGGGAAAACTGGTTACTGTGGTCATTTTTGGTAACTTGAATAAGAAGTAACAACAACAGCAAGAAACTCCCCAAACAAAGAAAAAGCAGAGAACAAAATCACACAAAAACACCAGAAGTATTTTTGAAAAGGTGCTTTGAGAATTTACTGTACAGTTTTTTAAACAATTTATTTATATGTTGACTTCTACATGCTCTTACATTTGTGTAAAATATTTATACATATTCTTTACAATTTGTACATATATTAAATGGCTGTATCATAAGCACTGTTTTTGAGATTTTATGAAAGAAAAATCAAGTGGGGAAAATTATTTATAAAATGTTAACAAAAACCCGTGCTATTGAAGAACAAGAAGTTCTCATATTTGTGTTCATTTGATTTTGATTTTCTTGTCTACTTTTTGGTTTCACTTATTTACACCGGCCTGGACTTTCCATTTTCTATAATTACTAGGTCAAAAATGAAAGCAGTAGGAGATCAGGCTGTAAGGCAACAGCGGAAGGCGGAGCTGCGGGTGAGACAGTCGTGAGTGCTCTGATTTCAAGCTGACAGCTGGTTCTGCTCTGTGCCATGAGCTGAAGGACCCGTGATCAGGAAACTACCTGAAGGTGCAGACACGTGACAGGCATCACTCTGTACTTTTCCTCAGCACGTAACTGCACGTGGCTCAGGATGCCACTCGTCCCAGTCCCTAAACTCTCCCTCTTGGTGGGGAGGGGACACGCTAACCTCTGGTTTCCGCCTTTTCGGAGAACGCTGGCTGCTCTGCTGTTCTATCTGCAAACCAAGTGGCTGTCAGGCTGCACCAGCACTTCGCCCTCAGTCCAATCGACAGATAAGGCGGGGAAAGGAGGGCAACGCTGGGCACAGGAGTCAGGATGGCTACCCAGCCACAGACGCAGTGCTAGAGGAGGTTCTAAACAACCCCCCAACTTTTCTGATTTACTCTTTCTAGCATAGAACACGCCCTACTTGGGATTAGGAAGAGTGCAAGGAAACCACACCGTCTTCCTGCAGGAGCAGCAGGCAGCTGTCCCGCGAAGGGACAGCCAACAGCCCACCTCCCACGCTCCGTGAGGACCCAGGTGGCCCGGGGGCCCCACTCTGCTTTCTCCCTCCTGTGATGTAAGCACCTGAGTTGCTATGCCAGTGAAGGGCGTGCAGGCTTTCCTAAGAAGACAGGAGCCCCACAGGACTGCAAGAGTTATAAAAATATACAAACATATATATATATTTTTATTCTGGCATATTTCGTATTTTTAAGAAAGCAATTAGTAATTATCTGACATTGGGTAAGAAATAGAAGATAATGGGTAACATATAAATTACAATTTTTTTTGTAAAATATCAGCGGGGGAAACCCCCAAATCTCCATTCAAAATTCTGAAAAATTTAAGTACTTTCCAAAAATATAGACAATTTCCATTAGTTTAAATAACGAGCAGGAAATGAACATGAGAAGACCATCCCTAAATAACCAATTAACCACTACATTTTGGCTGGTTCATAAAGAAAAGTTTTTTTCAACTCATTTCTTTTTGGTTTTCTTTTCTTTCTTTCTTTCTTTCTTTTTTTTTTTTTGATGATAGGAAAAAATAAACTTTGAGTTGCATTGCCCCAAGTCAGCAAGAAGCACTTCGGAGATTTCTTCACGTTCCATTCCTTCTACATAACCGGGAATCGGCTGAGGGCCTGCCTCAGCTTCTCTGCGATCTGGTTAAAGAACAAAAAATTTTGAGATAGTACCTCCATTCCCACGCCACGTTCTTTTACTCTGGCACCCACTTGGCCTCTGCATGGCTGCCGGGCAGCCCGCTTCACCGCAGCCTCGCTACCAACGGGACCCACTGCCTGCAGGAAGCCCTGCTCGACTACCAGCCACGGGGGCCTCCTCTCTGCTCCTGCTCTATTTCCAGACCAGCGGTTTATCAAGAGAGTGGCAGTGGCCCTGTCCTTCACACCTATCCAGAGTCCCTCTCATGGACATGTATGACTGCTGAAGACCCCTGTGGGGTGTGGGCCATGGCTCCCTGAGTACACCCTGCTCTCTTACTGCATGCTGTCTGGACAGGATGCACCTGTGTTACATGTTAATAGTGGACTGCAATTTTGTTTATGTGCCTATGTCTCCCCCAAAGACACCAGGAGCTCATTGAGGCAGATATAATACCCATCCTAGGGTCCCAAGTACCTGGAGTCGATGCTTAGTATGTAGGAAGCCCTCAATATAAGTTTGCTCCATGAATAAATACACAAAATTTAATAATATAAGGCATACTCTGCCATACAATTAAGTCAGATCTAAAACCTGGCAACACCGTATCAGCCACTTAACATTTATGTAAAGACAGTAATGAAA